GCAAATATGCACATGCTTAACTCGTATGCGCATGAATGGTCCCATTGTAGTCATTGGGGGGTATGTGCTGCTAAAGTTAAATGTACACTAAGTGTTTAGAAGTGTCATAAGTTGGGATAATGAACTAAAGGGAGGAGTTGGGAAGAGAAGTAAAAAGATTCCTAGAATAATAACAGAACCCCACACAGTTTCTCAGACATACTCAGATCTTGTTTGTTCAGTTAAAAGCTTTTCACTAATGTTCTAGCCTTTTTAATTTTACTAGATTTTCTGATCCTGACGGTTCACTTTTGCAGCAGAGGGTAAACTTAAACCTTCTGGAGAGTCCCATGGAGAATTATTCCCATGCAGAGAGAATGTCTGGTAGTGTAAAGCACATTCTGTGCCATCTGCCTCACTCCCACCTCAGCCTAAGTAGGTGGCAGGAAGCATTTGAGGTAGGAGAGGTGTCCTTTGCATTTATGATGCACACTTGCTTTATGGTACTTTTCTGCCAGGCCAAACAGACCCTAGTTGTGTCACATATGTACCAGAGTCAAGAGGCTGGATGCTAATAAACTTCAGCTATCCACCATTGTTAACTGTATCTGAACATAACTTGGATATTTGAGAATCAGGTCCAGGTTATGTATTTGTCTGAGCATAGGTCTTGATAGCAAAGGTCAGGAGATAGTAGTTAAGGACTCACAGGGTAAGTACAGAAGTTCACAAAGCCCTGGGAGAGGAGGGGTGGGGTGGGGGGGAATTAACCTCCACGGGTGTCTGTAAGCAGCGCAGGTTAGATCAGAAGCAAACAGAACATATGTTCACCCTTTGATGGAGGGGGAGGAGCATGCAGGTTGCATGCACTGGCCAAGGCCAGCAGGTTGGGGGGCACACCTGCATGCCTCTTGCCATGCCCTATGTGCTCCTTAGACTGCCAGGGAACGCTGAGTAGAACCAAGTGGCCAGGCCCCCCCGATTGATTGCTGGGTATGGGCAAACATGCCCCCAATAACTGTCACTGTGGACCCTCCTGCGCACGCAGCCATAGGTTTCTAGGAGAGCCCCAGAGCAGTGTGGCATGCCGGGCAGCCTGGCCAGCAGCAGTGGGACGGAGATACTCCACAGAAGAAAAGTTCGGGCCACTCAGAGCTCCCGTGTGGGGCTGCTGCGTGCCTGCTGCCACTGCCTGCCATTCACAGGAGCTCTGAAAGGTCTGAGCTTGCCTTCTGTAGAGCAGCCCTCCCCCCTGCCCTGCCTAGGGACATTGTATAAAGAAATAAAAATACTGAGCTACAGATACTCCCTTCCCCCCACCTGTGGCTGACAGCTGGCAGGATGCAGGGCTGGGCAGAGGGGCTGTGTTCTCCCCATCCCATCGGGCTGCAGCTGAGAACTGGCTGCAGGCAGGAGGTGGGGATGGGCAGAGGGGCTGTGGTCTGAGAGAGTTAGTGCTGGGTCTGTGGGGCAGAAGTCTCTATTCCAGTCCTCTACCTGGGCTTGGCTGTGGCTCACAACTGGCCACAGGCAGGAGGCAGAAGGTGGGGCTAGGTAAAGGGGCTTTGCTGACTTGGCTCTGTGAGAGGCTAGAAGCAGGGCCAGCTAGTCACTTAGTCAGAGCAGCTAAGTGCAGGCCAGCTGCTAGAGTGCCTCCCTGCATGGAGGGGGGTAGTGGGGGGCTGCAAAGCAGTCCAGAATGCCGGCAGACAGCAACCTAAGTTGAGGCAGTAGGTGATCTGGTACAGACATTTGATATACTGTTCTAACCTAAATTGCTTAAGTCTGAGACCACATCGATCCATATCTTGTACTAGTTTCCACCATTTTTAAACCAGCCTGTGTGTGCTGAACTTCTGCTTGGTTGTGGGTTTCTAATCACTTACACTGGTTTGTGTGTAATGCCTGTACCTAGCCACAGTCATTTTTAATGTTGTCACCTTCTGCATTAGGACTCAGCCCTTAAATATACAATCATATTGCTTCTGCAAGGATCCATGGCTCTGTTAGTACCCAAGAGGATGATGCAGCTGTTCAGTATTTTATTTTTGTTCTCCTCATTTTGGTTTTTGAACCAGTGTTTCTTTTTTTTCTTAACCTCCTCACCACCCCACTCATGTGGAAGGGGGCATGACTTCTCAGAGCCCTTTGCTTTTGTATGCATTGGTGTAACCGTATTTTGCAATCCTCTCTGTTAAACCTGACATTCCCCTTTTGTTTAATCATGCATACGTATGCATACAGACATCACATAGTGTGTGGATATACGTATTGTTTATAGATGCACGTATGACACTAGGAAGTTGGGAGTTGCTTAGGAAACCATTTTGCACAATCCCATCTGTAGTACCCAAAGGATTTTCTTTTAAACCGTTACAACTTGCCTAGGTCAATTCTAAATTTTCCAGGCCCAGTGAAAAGCACCTTGTGACTTACAGGACCACGACTCTGCCAGATTTCAGGTTTCTATCACCACCTGCTAAGCTGCTAGTGCAGATCAAAGAAAGGTTGCAAATATTTCTTTTTTCTAGCAGAAAAGCTGTGATTTTTGTCCTCCCACTCTTTGCATGCTTGAAAACAGCTCAACTGTTTTCAATGAAACTTGCAGGAAAACAAATCACTTCTTAGCCAAGAGCAAATGAACCAAATAGGCAACTGTGGATGATCTATCGTATTGGAAACAAGTAGGCAACTTAACCACAGGTATCACTGCACACTGTTTATAACACCTAACCTCTATATGGAAGATGCTCCTGCTGTTTACTGCATCACTGATGCAGAGCGTTAGACTGCCATTGTACTGATCAATGTGGGTACTCTGTCCAGGTACTAGCCAGCACTTGCCTGACATGCCGTACGTTGTAGATGGTGCAGTGCTTCCTGATTTAATGCCCTTTCTCTGTGTACTTTGGCCAGCAACAAGATAGTTAACAATGATAACATCTGGCATAGTTAACATCCCAGTAAGAAGGACCCCTTCTCATAACTCTTATTTCAAGCTGTCTGCAGATTCAGGCAGGCATCTCTTCATTGTCTAATATTGTGCTTGAAGGCTTTGTTCACAGCAGCAAAGACTAGAGACTGTTAAAATGAAAGTTGAGATTCTTGATCACAGAATGTCATTCTCCATCCTCTGTCTAACTCTCTCTTCCCTGCTGCTGGCCCCTTTGCCTGCCCACACCCCACAAAAAATCTCCATCAGGCCAGCATGCTTGCAATCTGTTACAACAAGGTGGCCCCAACCTTCAACCCTGGAGCTAAACAATACACAGGTGGCTCCAGTTTCCTTTTGTTGCAGTTGATTTTAAATTTTGATCAGTGAAGCATCCTTCAAAGATCATCAAACAAACAAATGCATTTAATGCTTTCCACAAAAAGGAGAGCCTCCAAGAATGATATAGACCTAGGATTATGAGTGTCCCTTTCCTTTTTCCTCTGAAATAATTCTGTTTCTTTTGTTGATGGTTTTTGTTTGTTTGCTTTTGCTTGTTTTTAATAAAGTTTGGGCAGAGGTGGCTAGTATGGGATAGGATTGATACTACTGTCCTGGTTCCAAAGCCACTGTTAAATTTCAAAAACGAGGAAAAGTGTCTGTGACTAGAGATTAGCATCTTTTAGAAAATGCAAGTGATTACCCTCAGTGTTTCACTCCCTCTACATAGTGCTTTTTATGTTGGTTATATTTTTTTAAATAAAATCTGCCTTGACACCTGGATTAAGAATTCATGCCAGGTTGGAAGGGAGCACTAATGTATGTCTCTTGATAGACTAAAGCCAAGAGACAGAGAGGTGGGCTGTCAGGTACATTTTGATTAAAATAAAATAAAATAAAATAAATGCAGACAGGACCAGACTTAGGAATTTTAAAAGCCCTGTTTTGACATGAAGCAAGCGTAAGGCTTTTGACTTGTGAATCTTTAGAAAGTCATGGAGGGGAGGGATTTGATTTATCATTAGTTAGCCCTGAGAAGTGACTGCTTAAAAGGCAAAAGTAAATTTCAAAGCTAATCTGGTGAATGTTTGAACAGAAATTTGGTAGACTATTAGGGAACATGTCTTGTACTGAACAGATCCCTGTTGGGATATATTTAACATAACATTTTTTTTCTTCCCATTCAATAGCAACAACAAACCATCTACCCCACAATGGTTAGTATAGCACAGAGCTTGATGCAGCCTTGGCTGAGGTCAAGCACTCCAATTCTAACCTCTCAAGGGCTTTCTCTATGTGTTGCCAGTGTACTGGTAAAAATGACTTTAAACTCTTGTCAGCGCAGTTACTGGTGCATGCATCACAGTCCCACTCAAATAAACCTGTCACAACACAGAGTCAGCAGCTAGAGAAGAGTACAAGGGCAGGCCTCTAGCTTTTCATTCGAGCATCACTAAACGTGCACAGAGTGCCCAATTATTTCAGCATTATTGAGCAAGCCTACAGGAGGACCCAAGCCTTGCTACATTAGATTTTCTTTAGTAATTTGCTCAAGTACCGCTGAGGACACTTAAAGGGCTTAAAACGGTGGCTGCAACCAGTTTCCTTTTCTGGATTGTTAATTCAGGTTTTCTCTTTCAAATTAACTCTCGCTGCATGCTGTGCAGTAGCGCTGGGAGAACTGTTTAACACTAATTTTCTCAATTTTCAGCTTTTTTTCCCCTTGCACTATATAGCTGCTTTTAGTTATTCACATATGTTTTGATTAGACATGTTTGTGTGTGTCTGTTCATATAAGAATAAAGTCCTTGTCAAACCTGGTTCCTTTGACAAAACCAGCAGATCTGTTTACGTGATTCTCATTAATTTGTTGTTTAATTCAGACTCGAGTCTAAATGAGATTTAAAGACTACACTGTGCCCAATATGTGGGCATTGGTGTTGTCTCAAAACGTATGTATGTATGTATGTGCAGCTGTCTGTATAAATCAATCAATCGATCCGTAAATACCACTCCAATCCCCATCCCCTCTGTCCTAAACACCCTCTTTTTCAGGACAAGTTCAATATCTGTGTTTAATTTTTCACAGCAGCAACAACTCCAAGCCCAGCATTTATCACATGGACATGGTCTTCCAGTGCCTCTCACTCCACACCCTTCGGGCTTGCAGCCTCCAACCATCCCACCAATTGGCAGCAGTGCTGGTCTCCTAGCTTTGTCCAGTGCACTGGGTGGGCAGTCCCACCTCCCGATTAAAGATGAAAAGAAGCATCACGAAAACGATCACCAAAGAGGTAGGAGCTGCTAGATGAGCACAAGGCTTTGTTCAACAATAGGCTTTTTGCTTGCTTGTTTGTTTGTTTGCTCTTTAACAAAACAGTTTTGATGGGACCTTCTCCATAATTGCTCTGGTATTTGTTTGCTAATCATAGTCATTCAGAAAATGGGTTCAGATAGTAGAAATCGGAGTATATAAAGTCTGGCTATACAGTATTAGTAATTAACTGTATAGTCAAGTTAACACCTATGCAATTTCTTATTTAACAGACGTGAGGATTCTTTCTGCCAAGTATGATTAATATATAATTTAGTGTAAACTAACTATTACTTTTCTCTTTCTTTCCCTTTCCCCCTCCACCACTGACGCCGCCTCCTGCTTTGCTGCTGCTGCTCTGCATGCAGACAGAGACTCCATAAAGGTAGGATTCCATTTCATAGGTGCAAGGAATAGCTTAAAGGAATTGCACAGCACATTTCATTGCAGTTTGAGCTAGAAGTGTAGAAAATGTCATGAATTGAAACTGGGTTGTGACACTCATTGATTATCAGCGGAGTCCCATGCAGATAAAGTTATTTCATTAAGAGAGTGCCTGAGCATAAACGCCTCTAAGATTGCAGGATGATTTATAGGCCAGTGAGTTGAATTTTTGCCTCCTTGCTCATTGGCTGACTCTTTAGCATTGTGCCTGTTCTAAAGCATGGAAGAATTCTTGTATCCCCCTAATGAGCAAAAAAAAAAAAAAAATGGCAGCAGGTGGTTTTAACTCCTTTTTGGAAACTAATTTAAATGTATTCTAAAGATATATTTGGCTACAAATCTAGAAATAAATATCAGTTGTTCAAGGAACAGAAATAAAATTCTCTCTCTTCCCCACCTCTCGTCTCCTGTTGTTGTTAGAAGCAGTGCTATGAGCTGAAGTGTCATAGGAAAGAACTGTTCGTGAAAGATGGCTACCAATTTACCCTTTACACTCCAATCTCAGTATGATTTCCTAGTCCTGTGTTTAATCTCTGTGGATAGTATGAATTACATGCACTCCTACAAGTATTTACATTTTTAGTAGGTACATTAAACATATGTAGCAACTTGTGTAATGCTGAATGCCTTACGGTATATTTTAAAGTGGATAAGTACATTTACCTGGATGCTCATTTGTACTGGAACATAATCAAATTAATATATGTAAACTTTTGTCAATATACACAGCAGTTTGAAAAAGTTACCCAGAACCTAGGAGTACAATAATTTGGTATTAGTGGTGGTAACTTTATTCCTATCAAGTTTAAACTGAGCCATGTCACGCTCTCCAGACAAATCAAGCACTTGAATATTGTTTATTTTGTACTTATAACAACTGAAACAAGTTTCTATTAAAATACTATTTAAATAAAAATATATAACAGTATAAGAGCTGGGCAAATGACTAGAAAGTAACATTAAAATCTAACTGTTTGGCAATATTAGTAGATATTTAATTGTCAAAGGAGTATATTTACTAGATGTGGCAGATTGGGACCATCACACTGGCCGGGGCAGGACTCGCTCCTAGCCCCCACAAAAGCTGTTGGGATTCTTATCAGAGTACTGTGCTCTTGGGGCTCTGTCTCTCATTTCATCCTCTGCCTAGGAGATACAACATCTTAACTCCTGCCCCTCCAAACCCTTCTCTAACTACTAGAAGAAAATGACATTCTCTCTGTTCTCCTTTTCGGCTGCTCTGATACAAAGCGATATTTCTTTAGCTTTTCTTCCAGCTGCAGGCTGGGGTGTGTCCTGTGCTCAACCCTTCCCCAGCTTGCCTCTGCTGCCACTGGCAACCTGGTGAAGTCACAGCAGAATGAAATTGACCTGATTGTTGTCAGTTTCACTGTGACCCACACGGTTCTGAATAACAATATGAACTGACAAGAACTGTCAGTTTTTACAGAGGCACTGCATCTACTATAGGCTTAAGACAACAGTGCAACAGTTTGCAGTGTATATTCTCTACAGTAGAGGTTAGAAACTAGATTATTGCCTTTCATAAAGCTTAGATCGTATGGCAGTTGATGACACCCTTTTTGGAAAGACTCCTGGCACCTTGGGATAATAGACTTTTCGAGTCCCGTAAACATGTTTTTTATATCTGTATATTTATGAAAAAAAATTATATAAAATTAGTTCTATGCAGCTTCTTCTTTACATGATTTACTTGAAGCAGTAATGAAATTTACTCGGTTTGCCCTGCATGTATTTACACCTATGTACATTATAAATATATAATTTACCTAGTTATGTATGTATGTGTGTACACACACACACACACACACACACACACACACACACACACGTGAATGAAGAATGTGTGCACACACACACAAGTGAATGACGAATGCGTGCGCGCACGCAAGTGAATGACGAATGCGTGCACACACACAAAGTGAATGACGAATGCGTGCGCGCACACAAGTGAATGACATGCGTGCACACACAAAGTGAATGACGAATGCATGCGCGCACACACAAAGTGAATGATGAATGCGTGCGTGCACACAAGTGAATGACATGCGTGCACACACAAAGTGAATGACGAATGCATGCGCGCACACACACAAGTGAATGACGAATGCGTGCGCGCACACAAAAGTGAATGACGAATGCGTGCGCACACACAAGTGAATGAAGAATGCGTGCCCACACACAAAAGTGAATGACGAATGCATGCGCACACACAAGTGAATGACGAATGCGTGCGCGCACACAAGTGAATGAAGAATGCGTGCGTGCACACACAAGTGAATGAAGAATGCGTGCGTGCACACAAGTGAATGACGAATGCGTGCGCGCACGCACAAGTGAATGACGAATGCGTGCGCGCACAAGTGAATGACGAATGCGTGCGCGCACGCACAAGTGAATGACGAATGCATGCGCGCACACACACACAAAGTGAATGACGAATGCGTGCACACACACACACACACACACACAAGTGAATGAAGAATGCGTGCGCGCACACACACAAGTGAATGAAGAATGCTATTAAAGTACACCATACATTACTATTTCAGGAACTGAGTTAGTTCTGTTTCCCTGTTCTTCATGAAATAGCTATGGGTCTGCACTGGCACATTAATTGTATTTAGTATTCATACACAAAAGGTAAATTTTGTCTAATTAATTTACAATTAGTTAGATCAGTTCAATGAGTTGTTACACATACCGCTACAGAGACTGAAAGAAAGGTGTGACTGTTTTGCACTGATTTATTTTGAAATGATAGCTATAAATAGGTGTTTGTCTTGTACAGCATTCAAATTCTGAGTTGGATTTTGTCAGCATTTAGGGCTTGCTGCCAGCTTTGCAAGGTGAAATAGTTTGCTAATTTCCTTAAATGTTTTCAGTGATGCCCAGAGTAGCAGTTAGTCGCTTGTTCTATCGATCTGTCCTCCCTTAAGTGGCTCCTGGTTAAGAGAGGCTTTTTATGATTGTCTGCTGTGTGACTTGAGATGGTTTTTATCAGCCAGAACGTGCCAGTTGCCAGCAGCTGGAGTCTGTGTGCTTGTATGAAATAATTTATTCATGCAGGATAATGCTCCTTAACATTTAACAGGTAATGAACGTGACATAAATTTCCTCCTTGCTTTTAATTTTTCCCTTTCCTCTTCTAATGTGCAAACAGGCAGCTCTGGTACTCTAAATAATAAGTAATTTTTGGCCATCTGTCAAAAGGAAATTTCAATACAAATTTAAATTAATGGTGCCTGAAATTTTTTATAGCTCCTCTAAAAGCCTCTAATGTGCAGAAAATTCTGAATCTGCTGGTAGTAATTAGTGTAGCATGTAATGAGGATATGGGCAACATTATACAGCCCCAGTGTAACATTTTGATATGGTAGCAAAATTTTGATTTATACAAGGTTGTGGCTGGGTTTAATTGTGAGAGACACTTTAAAGTGTTTTCTTGCCGATACAGATTATTAAGCAGGGCAGATTTTAGAATAGCTCTTAAAATGTAAATTTTGGCTGTACTGTAAGATTCAGGTAATTAAGGTTTCTTATCCACTGATACAAAGAAAGGAGTTCAGATGCATTTTTTCCCATTTTGAACCTGTTGCCACCAACTCCAGTGGACCTGTCAGCCAGTTGTTTTCATTAAACTTGGCTTCTGTAATTGCACTTGTCCTGACCCTACTTTTAGTTTTGCCTGGAGGTGAAGGTGACAGTTGATTCACTGGCTCCGGAGAATTGAAATCCTGAATCCATCCAGAAGGGATCCACTGTGTGAAATTACTCCCTTCAGGCAAGAAGTAGAGAATGAGTGAGGGGAAGGAATATGTAATACTACTTATGCACAAGATTTTACACACTCTTCAGGGAATGTGGTGGAAAACTCATTCATGTCATTGCTGAGCATTGAAGCCAAGATCAGTGGTTGGAGCCATGAAGTAAGACAGGCTGACATCAAAAGACAGTTCTTCAGGCCGTGGTGCAAACAAGAAAGACACAGTCATATTCCAGTTTATATCACCCTTCTAAATGGAACATTTTCTGCCTGATAAACCAAACCAAGCTTGGATCCTTCCAGATGCACCTTTGGAGTGAGCAGCTGACTGCTGAAACTGATTAGGAACCTTCCTGATAACATGACATTGTCCAGAAGCTATTCCTAAATAATACATCAGCATCAGCACTACAGGCTCTATGGAAGAAGGAAACTTTTGGTGTATTCTGATTTTTATGTTGGATTTAGTCATCACAATCCTTTCAAAGTTTAAGCATGGAAAAAATGCCCAGAAAAATAGGCCACAGGAATTCTGTGCATACAGATACAAAACTAGCACAACAGCTAAAAGGAGAGGTGAATTGCAAGGGTTCTTTTAGATGCGCTGATGTCTGAAGGACTATGATGAGATATACTCTTTTTTTTTTTTTTAAATAGAGCTACAATTAATTTTCTCTCCTGCAGAATACTCTAAACAGCCCCTTTTCATAAATGTTAAAACTCCAGGGGGTTATTTTTTTTTTAAAGATAATTCTTAATCACTGCAGTAGAAAATATGCTTCTTTCTCACAAATTATTCCTTTCAAGTGTTTTTTCTGTCTACATACATCACCAGAACAAGAGGCATCTCTCTTCTGCTAAATGCCCCACCTCCAACCCAAGTTCTGTATTCCCTAAATAAGTCCCTTGCGGCAAAAGTATCCTGTAAAGAAACTGAGTAAGAGTTTGTGGAGAAAAAGGTCATCCACCAGCAAGCAATCTAGGTTTAGTGGTTTCTTCTTCGTGTGTGGTATGACACATGTGATTTTGGCTAGCCTGTTGGAACAGTCGGAGTTGATTTTTAAATGCACATTATTGTGCCCATACATGTGTGCACATGTGTGCACACACACACAATAATGGTTCAAAAGTCTTTGACAGTATTTTATGTGCAT